CGAGAGAAAAATTACAGCGCACTTTTGCTTTGTTTTGCGTCACTTACCTATTTCAATAATATACGTTTTTTTTTTTGCTGGTATGGGTCCACGTCATTCCTGCTTCCCCATGAGCCGAGAGCAAGACATTGCCATGACATTATTTGAAAATCTTAACAAACTTGTCTGGCGTGAATGAATGCAAATTGCAACGTTGACTCACCTTTACCGTGCGGTTGTTTCAGTTCCTCCTTAATAAGTGATTAAGTGACATCTCAACAACAACAACAAAAAAACATCACATTTTTTGTTTGGGAATTGATAATGCTTTTAGCAGTAAACGCAATGCTGGCATCATCATCGCACTTGGAGCGACCTTGTGCAGCGTCTGCCAGGAATGCATGCCCGCGCTAGACAGCGCACGAAGAAAGGTACAAATGACTTTCATTGCAAATTGACGTCACGCATACACCAGTGGTTAGCCCTTTAATTTTTTATATCACCTGCCCATCAATCTTTTGGCGACTAAATGTATTCTGCGAGATGAATTTCACAGCCAGTAAACTGGAAGCATTATGGTATTCACTTATAATTACGACACGTTTTATTTTTTTGTTTTTCTGTCGGATACTGAACACTCGGACTAGGCATTGCAAAACTTATTAGTGGGGGTCTAGATTTTGTCGAAATGGGTCCCGACAATAACCAAAATGTTTCGTGAAAATTTTTCGCACCTTCCGAGGGTGATTTTTTAAGGCAAATTGCTGAAATGAGTGATGGACTTAGCCCTCTCACGAAACAATGGTTTTATGGTTGCCCGACTGCTTTTTGGGGAAGCTGCTCATGGTGGCTTGCATATTTCTTTACACATTTATCAGGAACCGGATCCAGCCAGTCCAGCTGTCTGTAATGTTATTTCTCGTCGAAACTATAACGTGGCATTCACGCTCAATCGTCTTTTTGTTTTTCTTGCCTTGCATGCTTTGCTAAAGCAGTGCTGCTGGGGTGCGCGATATACGTGCACAAGCCTTGTAGCTTGTTGTTTTTCAGTTGTCATCGAAACCTTTTCATAGCCAATACTCTTCAATCCGTGATATTGCACATGACAACAGGTACCAAAAGAGAAGTACCTATGTCACAATTTCACAACGATGAGAAAAAAGCGCTGTTGTCACTCAAGTTCACTATACCTTCGGGAAGTTCATTCCAGTCTCTAATTGTTTTTAAAAAGAAGGAGTTGGCAAAAGTAGTGGTTTTGTATGCGTATTCTTGTATTTTATGTGAGTGTTGGCATCTTGTGGAACGATATGTTGGTGCTAGTAGGTATTCAGACTTATTAATTCCTGTTAGGTTATAATATATGCTGTGCAGAAGTTTTAATCGAAGTTTCCGTCTTCTAGATTTTAGAGTTTCCCAGCCTAATATGGCCTTTATTTCTGACATACTAGCGAATGGGTCGTAGTTGTTGCTGACGAAACGGGCTGCCTGGTTTTGGACTTTTTCTATTGTTTTTGCAAGATACTTTTGAGCCGGGTCCCAGATAACACAAGCATATTCAAGTATAGACCTGACAAGAAGGAAGTAAAGAGTTTCTTGATAGGTTAGAATTCAAAGCAGCATATTTACCATCTATTTATAACGTATTTATGCCACGTATATAATACCAGGTATCTGCAGTTGGTGAGGAGTTACATGATAAGACTGATTTAGGCAGTCTGTAGCTAGTTAACGAGTGTAAACGAGTAAACAGTGCTTCAGCTTCTTGGTATGCATTGAGGTAACAAGTACGAGATTCACAATGCATGCCTCGAACTTACAAACCCTTCACATCACATTCCTCATTAAAATTTTGGGGGATACTGGTTCATATGTAAAGTCCTAAAGGCATTGCCGTTGTCAGAGACCTTGAAGGGACACTAAAGAGGAACGATGACTTAATTTAGATTGACGAATTGCACTTAAATAAGTCTAATGCCATATGTCCCACAATAATAAGTTAATTATTACCAGAGAAAATCAAGGTTGAAATTTCATTTGTAAGTCTCGCGCAACGTAAGAAATTTCACAATGCATTAGCGTTATTTTTGTGGCATTGGCTCGATGAAACTTTCTGAAACTTTGTACGTCAGGTCTATGGCACCAACAGATTACAATGTACTTCATTTTTATCAGTTGCAAGCTATGAGGGACCTTGTAGATGTCCTTCAAAATTTCTTACGTCAGTGGTGTTTGGTGCGGGAACCCGCATTTCCTTTTCGTGTGTTACTAATGCGGGAAATAGTTTAGCTCTTTAGTGTCCCTTTAAAATAAGCTGGATTTCGACACAGTTTTCCAATGATATAGTGAAACAGAAACACCCTTCCCTGCATGCTTTGCCCCCTCCCCAGTTATTTTTTTTTTGCTATAGTTCTTCAATTTTCGCAAGGCTGTCTTGACAAACATCTGCATTTTATGTTCATCAAGACAAGTCTCTGTGTCAATATTGTTTTCCTCAATAAGCAAACCTTCTGCCAGCAAACTGCCAAGGCTATGTGGGTCAGCTGTTTACATTGAATCACTTAGTTCTTTCACCTCATCTTCAACTCTGTGGGACCTACAACAATGTCGCCTTAGCAACTGTGTTCATAACACACTTGCTAAAGAAAATTGCAGCCATGCTTTTGTACGAACCTTTGTCCCACTGAGAGTTTCAAATAAAGCCACTCCTACACATACAGTTTAACCAGAACTGAATGTTCCCTGTAAAAGTACAGGAACTGTAGTTCTGATCTTGTATTTGCCTGACCTGTTCTCTCGCACTCACCTGCCCAAGTCAACTGCTTAAACTTATTTGCTTGAATTTATGCCTATCTACTGTTCCCACGCTCTCTGTTGCCGTATGAAAGAGCCACAGTGTCTAAAGAAAAAAAATTCGTTTACTGCGGTGTACACGTACACACTACAAAGGGCACAGCTTATTTGCCTGCATTTATGCCTGTTTACTGTTCCCACTTTCTATGCAAGTCTGCGACAGAGCTCTAGTGTGTCTCAATAAAAGGGAATTCTCATTTGCTGCAGTGTACACGTAGATGCTACGGAAGGGCGACCTGAGCAACGACTCAAACAATGCACCTTGTTCATTCCTTACACTCACCAATTTCCTTCATAAAAGACTTAGAAGACTAATGCGGCCGCTCCTATTTGCACACAATAGACTGTACTTGGAATGCGCTTTGTCAACAGAGCCTGGTACATTAGAAGAATTTAACAGACCCCGCACATTGCTTATCAGCAAGTCAGACCCACAATTCCGGAAAAACTACCCCATGGTTTTTCAAACAGCGTTCCACTTCTTTACCGAGTGGAGTTTCATCTTGCGAAGTGGAAACTACGTGGACTGATCAACAGCTTGCAGGACTACGAGTTTTGGATGAACTATGCGATATTGTCCTGGAATGAGACAATAGGCTTGCAGCAAGTTTAGCTGACATTGTCTTGTTCTGCACAAAGCTCATTCACAGAAACCTCCTGCCGTTGGACGAAACTGCAGTGGTGGTTTCTGATGCTAGCCTTTCCTGGCCGTTTCCAAACATTTATTTTGAAAGCTGTACTACAGCACTCGTTCGTGCAAGAATTTTCTGGTGTGAGAGAGAGAGAAATAACTTAATTAGGTTGAAAAAATAAAAAAATAAAAGGGGTTTAAGAGTTAGATCGGTGGGGCCCCATGTTCAAAGCTGCACTGGCTTGCGCCGCCTGCCGGACGTGGTCCAGGAGTGCTAGTTGCACATCCGGGTCCGAGCTAGCGAGGAGTGCCTCCCATTGCTCCAAAGAGTTTTCCATTCTATACATGCGCTGTAAGGGATCGAGTTCATTTGGCCGCTTAGCACAACTCCATGAGATATGGTAAAGGGTCGGTGGCGAGTCGAGACACCACGGACAATCGCGCCCATACAAAGTTGGATGAATTTTGTGCAGTTGTAATAAATTTGGATAAACTCCCGTTTGAATTTTACGGAGGTCTATGGCATCTTCCCCTTAAGAGATTTGTGGGGGGCACCATATTTCTGCCGCGTGCATCGCTGGTGAGCAAGAAGCTCTCGCGGAGCCATCCGAGCCGGGTCGTTTTCCTCCTCGTGTAGGACAACGTGCATTGTCAAGCCCAATCCTTGATCTTCACAGTGTCGCCATCTTTGAAACTAGCTTCGTTCTGCCACAGACAAACTGCCTTGCCTAAGTGTGCTCTTGTATGTTTACTGGTTATAGGAAACTAATGGATATTGATAGAGACGTCCTCAAATGGCATAGGTCAAAAACGCAAGAGTTCTGCATCTCATTCAATTGCGATGCATTTCTCTGCTGCAACATGGCCCGAAAGAATTCTTGAAGCAAGGAAGCAGCAGCATGCCAGACATGCAAAGGCGATCCTTCTGAAAAAAAGGCCTTGCGCAAGGTTTTATTTGACAGTGTTTGCCGAGTTTGCACTCGCAACTGAAATATCAAGTCACTTCTGGAGGACAGAGGTGCACATGTCACCGAATTAGAATGAGACACTCCCTTCGATATTATATAAAAAGAAAAATCGAACATTTAGGAGGTAGAAGGATGTAACCGCGTTCGAAAGCAAACCAGCAGAGATGCACTGCAGATATATCACATGAATCCACGTCATCTTGCATAGGAAGAAGAGAAGTTCACAAGCACCCCTTTCAAAACAGTCTATTCAGAGGTTACAATCGTGCTTAATTTTCTGCACAAAACATCCCTCTGCTAAATTTCGAGAATAAAACTTGGTCTGTGCGGTATGGTTGCATTTGCATACCCTGTCAATAGAATGCAACCACACACATGCACAATCCAACGCGACTCCCCTTTCACAAGTTGTAATGATGGCAAGAGTCATTCTCCACGAAGTGTCCTCTGCACGATGCTTAGGACTTTAGTCTACACTGCAGTTACATAAGAAAACCGCTGCATTGGAATGTACCTCTCATCTCCCCCCCCCCCCCCCCTTCTCCAAACAATATGTATTTCAAACTGCACAGGCGCGCCACCCACACGGCTCCACGGAGCTGCAACGGTACAAGGCCCGGCTGCATCACCCTCTTAACGTTGGAAGCTTTGTGGATCAACTGACCGTCCTCGCCGAGCGCTTTCCAGGTTTTCGGCCCTAGCGCCACGATGCAAGACAAAGGACACCAGAGACGATTTTTTTTTTTTTCGGCAGCTTTGCTGCAGAGAGATGGATGTTTTTCCCTTTTCTTTATTCCATTTTATTAAGTGTCTCTAGCAGTGATACAACAGTTTACAACAATAAAAAAAATAATGGTTTGCAGCAGCTTGTGTAATTCATTTTTCTCCCTGACCCCGCGCATTTGTAGACAAAGAAAAAAATATAAAGGGTGTGGTGGTTGGTAGTAGTGGTTGGTGGTGGTGGTGGGCCTCGCGGCCAAGCCTCTGGCACGCCCCTTGTTCTCACTTTCTTGTGTGTGGTGTGTGCTCCCAGGGTTCGACAACAGCGGTGCCCCCAATGGGCAACAACATTGTTATTTTTTTGTCTTTTTTAAAACTTTTTTCTCGTATTTTGCGGCTGGAGACTAGAGGCTCAAAAGGGGGGGCACCTAGAGAATCACAGTCCCTGCGCCCTAAGTACTTCCCTTCCCCAACACACGCAGCTGGCCCAAGGGAAACAAAAAATAAACTGTGTCCCATTTCACTCGCCACAATTAGAATATTCCTAGCAAAGAGTGCAAAAAACAACTTTATAATCAAGGGAGGGGATGAGAGAAGTTGGACGTAAACGAAAAAATAAACACTGTGTGAAAGAGATGCTCGCAAAAAATGTCCATGCAACCCTTGTTATGTGTGTTAGGAACAAGTAAACAAAAAAATGTAACATGGCAAAAATTCGAAAATATCGCGCGTCTAACAGAAGAAGCACTTGCACCTAAGCGCGGCGGCGGCCCCACGGCCGCTATAAATTTTTCTTCTCTCCTTGCGGACGCACGCACACACGCAGACATTGTGTTGTGGATATATCTTTTTTTAACAGTTCCTTTCTCACCGAAGATGCGCACGCAAGAAAAATGAAAAGGTGTGGGTGCCACATGAAAACACACTGTGGCCAACAAACAGGTGACAACAATGTAGCAGCGGCTTTTCTTTTAAAAGTTGCGAAAAAAAATTGAGTGAGGAGAAAGAATAGAAGAGGGTGGGGGATGGTTGTGTGGTGGTGGCTCTAGAATGCACAGAAAAAAAAAGAAGCATTCTCTCGAGAAGAAAAGCAAGTTTTGTCCCGAGCTGCAGTGCACAGGAAGAAATAAAAATTTTCAACAGCGGCCCTCTCCCCAGTACTGGCAAAAGAAAATGAGGCCCTTTCTCAAAATATAGGCGCAAGACATGCACACACAAAAACATATGCAACATACACACATGCAGACACACGCAGTTGGGAAGAGCAGGGCTTTTACAAAATAAATAACTATGAAACATGAGCGCGGGAAATACAGCTTCAGCAGGCCGCCTCACCCGAGAGTCCGACCGAGCAGGCACCGACTAGCCCCCCTCCCCGCAGCTCGAAAAAGTCAGGGGGGTGCGTGCTATCGATGGGGGGGGTCGTTTTAAAAAGGGGGAGGGAAACGCCATAGAGGGATGAAAAATGGGGTGAGGGGGGAAGTCTCGCTCATCGTTGCTTGGCGGCAGACGGGCAGGTGCGCATTGCATAGGTGCTACAGCTTGTTCTCGGGAGAGGGGAGGCGACAATCCGTCGAAGAGGACCTTTTCTTTCCCCAAGGCACACTACAACGAGGAGAGAAGAGGAAAAAGAAACCCAGCAAAGGGGAGCATGCAAACAAGTGCGCACACACCCCAAGAGTCCGACGACGTGGAAATGGCCCACACTTCTGCACCTGTACACACCCAGACATGCGTGTGGTATATGTATATACATTATGTATATCCGTATGTTATAATATTCCACTACTGTAACATCACATTTTTTTTTTGCGACACTCTGAAAAGGGGCGGGGGAAAGAGGGAGGGGGTCAGCCGAAAGAAAAACACCTTCCACCACCCTAGCGAAGCACCCCGAGCGCATTCTGCTGTGACCTTTTGGCTTCCTCCTCGGCAATCTGCTGCTCGATCAGATACTGGGCCGTCGAGACTGCGTTTGGCGTGCCCGTGATGCTGACGATGCGGTTGCGCGTGCCTGGCGCAAACGTGCCCTTCTTGGAGATCTGGATGGCGGCGCCACTGAAGCGCTGGATCTCGACCAGTGACTTCCCCCCCGGTCCCAAGATGGCCCCCACAATGTTCTCCCCCACCTCGAGGTCTCGCTTGACGGCGTCCGAGCACTTATCGGCCGCCGTGGGCGGCGGCGGCGACTTGCACATGGCCCCTTGCGATGGCACCAGCGCTGTGCCCAGCCCGAACGAGTTGTTGTTTACGGGCATGCCCCCGCCTGCGCCGTTGTTGGCCGCCGCGCCGGGTGACCCTAGCGCAGGCGAGTTCCGCCTGAACGGGTCGAACACCATGTCGCTGTGGTAGCGCTCCGAGCGGGGCGAGCCGAAGCCGCCGCTGCCGACGGGACCAAAGATTCCCGAGCTGCTGGCGACCACCGGTGGCGTGGCGTCCATCGGCGAGGTCGGGTACACTTGTTGCGGCGGCGGCGGCTGCGGCGGGCCCTGTCCTATCATGGCCCCATTAGCGCCTGCCAGGAGCGCACCGAGGCTGGAGCCCAGCACGCCGTACGTCGCCAGTGTGCCCATGGCTGTCGCGATGTCGGCTGTCGCCTGCTCCGTGTAGCCATTACTCCTCAGCACTGCCTTGACGTTCTCCAGCAGCTGGGCCACATTGGCGCCCGGAAAAGCCGCCGGCACCATTGAGCCCGCGGCTCCTCCGAAGTTCGCCGTTGGGCTTAGGCTGTTGAGGCTTCCGCTCGAACTGTAGCTGGCCGATGAGTTGTTCACGGTGGAGTGCACGCTTGACGGGTTAGCGTACGGTGATCCTGTCGGGTTGAAATTGGCCACGGGCCCAGTCACCTCGGCGTAAGAGACGTGCAGGCAGCTGCCGCTTTGCGGGTCCTCTACGATTTTGGCCAAGATGAGCTGGCATGCCTTCTTGTTATTGTCCATCTCGCCGATGACGGTGATGCAGCGCTCCGCGAGAGCGTGGTCCTTGGACTTCTGGGAGATCTGCACGTAGGCGCCACTTTCCTCCTTGATCTGCTTAATGTAGCTGCCCCCTTTGCCGATGATCATGCCTGCTGTGCTGTTGGGCACCAGGATCTTCACCTGCGGGTATACGTGCGATGTAGCTTAGCAGTGCTTGAATCAGTGTTTCAGGTTTCCACGCACACTGGATGAACTAAGCAATGCGAGTGCATGCAATGCCCAGCTCCCTCAAATGACCACCAAATGCATTGTTTCACGCAGACACAGCACTCGCACGATAAAACAAGCCAGCTGAAAGTTGGAAGCTACTTGGGAAACTGCTAGAAATCAATGAAGCAGTACTTTTTTTAGAGCCGAGTGCAGAGCACTAAACTTTGCTTTCAATATTCAGGAGCATTCCAATCAATATGCATTGCTGCCAAGTAGTAAAGTGGCCCCAACAATTGTAAGGTCTTTCGTTTGTGTAATATTCACGACAACCAACCTATTTCAACGAAATGCCAATAGATTCACCGACTGATTTTTCTAAGCCTAATTATTTTGCATAAGCCCAATTTTCGAAAACTAATGATAGCAATGCCGGCACCGATATGGTACATGAAATTTCAAGTTCCGGGGGCACTTCAGCTTTATCCGCTACGCAAATTTTCTCGCAAACGCAAAACAAGATGTCCTACGCAAATTTTCTCGCAAACGCAAAACAAGATGTCCTATGTCCTTTAGCAGTATTCTCTGCAGATTGAATCCGGCAATGGTTTTTGTTTTTTTTTTTCAAGATAGCCCAAAATGCAAAAAAAAAAAAGAAGTGTGCTGCAGCTCTCACACAGTTGATGAGCATTTCTGACTTTAGCAATAACATCACACTTTAATATTTGCAGGTTCAATCACTTCGCTAGCTGCGGTTCGGCAAGCTTCCGTACCTGCTTTTCCCTCTCAGCTGGCTGCTTGTGGTCAAAGTCTATGGCAATCTTGGCTGTGGGGTCTGGCTTCTCCTTGATTTTCTCCATGATAAATTCGTGGATGCGTAGAACGCCCTCGACACTCCCAGTGATGAGGCACACCCTTTCGGTGGTTCCTGCGAGTGCGACATAACGTGGGCACTGTACTGCGATGGCAAGCCACCAAACAGAGTTGCCAAAAGTTGCATGACCTCAAGCTTCCAGTGCCGGCTGTACCATTAATAGAGCACTAGGTATAAGTGTGAAATTATTGGTAAACTATTAGCCACGAGAAACATTTCACAGCACTTACGATTCAGTTTCGTTTTCCACAAACTAAATTAAGTTTATACAGACTATATGAACTTATTCGAAGCCTAGTGATATGAGCGATAATCGAAGCATCTCTGAATTCTGCGAGGGAAGTCCATTCTGGCTGGATTAGGATTATTCATACAATCGTATATATAATTGCAGATTAAATGCTTGGCAACGTCTTATGAAGGCAGTCTTCCTTCAATTTATAGTTAATGCACATGGCACCACAAATAAAGAGGTGCAATTTGTGGTGTGCCAGGCTAAATCCACTTGTGGCTGGGTGCAAAGGCCACACTGCACACTGGCAGTACCATGCAGCCTTTGTATAGGCATGGGAACATAACTGCAAGTACAAGAATCAATAAATTGATGGTCATGGCCAAGTGAGGCTGCTGGACTGTACCTAGGAGAACCCAGGGCTCAAGCACACTGCACCATGGGCCGAATCATTATAGATCTGTCGTTCAGGTCATGATGACTCGCTAGAAAAATGCACCAAGCAATCCTACGTCTTTCTTTTTGCCAGAGCATGTCCGGTGCCTTGAAGCAGCAAATGCGAAGCACTTAACGGCGAATAGGAATGGAAGATTGTAGCAGCAGGCTTTCTCCCTCATGCGGTGCAGCTTCTGTCAGCAGATTCTCACCTGGGTAGAAGTCGTTTGACTTGGACATTTTCACCCGGGCTCCCGCTTCCTTTTGGAGCAGTGCAATGGTCTCGCCACCTTTGCCGATGATGGCTCCGGCAGCCACAGCGGGTACGAGAATCTTGAAGTGGAATGTCCCATTGCCTGCGGGGACAGAAAGGGTGGGCGAGGCCACTGTGCAACACACGCACACACACACACGTGGCATGGGCTCGAAATCGACAGCACAGACACGCACAGACAGACAAGGGGCGACACTACCGGTGCATGTATGAGTCATGGGAGAGAGAGAGAAAAATAATAAGAAGCCATGGCGGTGGTTTTCGGCGAGTGTGAATCCCGACAGGTCACGATGAGCCTTTGGCGGTGGCGGGCGGGTGAATGAGATGGGCGTGATGGTGGTGGTATGGCGCTACGACGATGCAGCAAGCGGCCAACAGACAAGGTGAACAAAGGGAGGAACAAAGGCCGTACCTGACGCTCGTCTTCGTAATTGCTCCATTTGCAAAGCTTTTGCGGGAAGAGGGGGGGAAGAAGAAGAAGAGGGGCCTCCGGGCTTTTTCCACTCTCCCTCTCAAACGTGTGCGCGTGCCCCCTTCCTTCCTTTCGCTCTTTAACTGCGTTTCTTTCGCCTGAGCATAGCGCACCTGGCGTCTAGTGGCGCCCGTCAAAAGGGCTGCATGGCTGCAATGCAAACGAAGAGACACATACACACCGGTTGAAGGAGCCAACAAGCCCCGCCCACCCCACCCACCCCCCCAAACACCACCGTCATTGGAGCCCAGGCAGGAGGGCCTCGAGAGAGGGATAAGGGAGCGCAGGTCTCGCGTCGCTGTACAAGAAATTTTGTCATGGTACCCTCACAAAATTTTTTTTTTCACCTCTCACAGCTATGGTATACTTACAAAATTTGCACAGCGAAACTGTAAAGTTGTAAAGCCAAGACATCCAACTCGTGTTCTGTGGCTTATGTACACCTTAAGCCAGGCTAGTCCCAACCCAAGATGGCCCAAACAAAACTGCACCAATATTGAGAACCAAAAGTTCACAGGGTCCCCTTTCACATTTGCCAGAGGCGGCTCAGAGGCAAAATCCACCTCTCTCTTTTAAGCAGACTGTATCGATTGCGCACGCCCGTGAAAGGTGTCTGTCCCTAGTGTGGTTCCAAGCAAACTCCAGAACTGAAGACATTCAAGCCTCTGTACCTCGCACACCTTCGGGATCGGCCTGCCCATGCCCAAGTAATGATTTCATCTGATGGCACTCCCATGTGATATTTATTTTAGCATAACTTGTGCAGATGGTCACTTTTCGTGTTTGACTAAGCATCATACTCACTTGAAGAAAGCAAGATGTTACAGGCCGACGAAGGCTAGGCTCTCATGTGTAACATGCAGTAACCAAGACTTCTCAACAAGGACAGAACCCTAGAAGCCGTGGCATGCTAAAATAAAATTAAAAGGTAGAGAATCTCTCCGTAACTTCGAAAAGAGGACCTGTCTTTGCTAGGACAATGATGTTTCCTATTCCACAATTTTTTTTCTTCACTTTCTCCAAAGCTTTTGTCATGTCTGCTCAATGAATAACATATGTTCAATCGTTTAAGTTGTGCACACCCATTATGATTCACCAGACTTGGAGAATGCATCCTACAAGTCTCATTTAAACCAACGAAATACGTTTGCGGTTTTCGGGACTTGTCAGGTGGTCCTACAGTGCATAGATAGAGAATTGCCAACACACAGCGTTTGACTATACTGCGCAATTTAACATGTGAAATTACTTTTAAACCGCTATGTGTCTGTTTATTAACTACATACATATATGAAGAAGTGCAATGGCTTAAAGCATAACACTCCCGACAGTCATATTAATGCCAAGTAAATCATTCTTGATCAATTCTTCGTTAAGTATATGGATATGATCACTAGAAAAGCTGATAAGTAGTTGAAGCAGCAATACATTTTTTTTGTGTATTTGCATCATACAGAACACCAAAAATTGTGAACAGTTATCGAGAATCACATTCTATGCAAGCCATTTCATAGCATATGGCGACAAAATCATCAGGGCAGAGTTTTATCACATACAACATGGCCAAAATAAACGCCTACCAACGTTGCATGTGCTTCAGGATAGAAGCGCAACACATGGTACCGCTTAGACTGGAGGGAATCGTGGCGCAATGGGACCTTTAGCAGATTCACATGTGGGAAAAGTTTAATAGGATGTGTGCACGATCATCCTAGGATGCAGTAGCCCTAACTGTATAGAAGTTAAACTTGTTCTCACATACGTTGTTACAACTGGAAGGTGAACAGGTCATCAATGCTGCTTACAAAGCGAACTACTAGACTAATGTCATTCTGGTAAGAAAACGAGGTGTAGACCTTCGTATGAGAAAAGCTTGTCCGACTGTGAGCAAGGAATAACGCAGATAAGTGCTACTACAGACCAGATGTGTAGCAGTTCCTGCTGAAAACGTGACAGGTGATCAAACAGTCCTATCCATATGAAGGAAACTGGACATCATACAAAACAGGACAGGCTATGTGCACAGGTTAGACAGACTCCTGCGAACCTAATGAATTGACGTGGTCTTAACTATTACAGTGCTCTCCTAATGTGGCACAAAAACGAGCAGGCGAAACTAGACCGTCGAGGCAGGGCGGAGCAAGAAGGCCCAACTGAAATCGCGACGGGCAAAAGAGCATCGGCTCGGAAAACAAAACGGCTCGGCATGCGGACCGAAATCAGTGCTCTTCTTAGCTTTATCGCATATTTGAAAAGCAGCAGCAGCAGAGAGATCGGCCTGAAAAGAGTGAGCGCCCCCCCCCCCCCCCCCTCCCGTCTGCCCCGATCGCCACGAGGGCGGAACCTCGAGGAAGACGACGGCCGGCGAACGAGAAAAAAACGGGAGCGAAAAATTAAGCCAAGGTCGCGAAACGCAAGTTACACGGCGAGGCGATTGATGCCTCGGTCGTACCCGATCTCGACCGGTCCTTTAAACAGACACGCTAAAGCGCTACGCTGCACAAGACGGAGCCATGTTCCGTAGAAGCAGTATGAAAAGCCATCGTCACGTTTCGTTCGCGGCTCTGCGCAGAGGAAAAAAAAAAAGAAACTCACGATGAATGAGGAAATCGAGCATTTCGGTTGAAGTTTTCCGCGATGTGCGAGTCTCCGCAGGCCCTGCACACGCAATGTGGTACGCTTTAAAGGGCTAGGCCGCCGGCTTGGACGATAAATGCGATTACCACACTGCTGCCGGGTCAACGGCAAGGACACCACGTCGGACGAGCAGTGCATTCCGCGACTCGAAAGCAAACGGCGTGGAGAGACGGCGGCCAGATCCCGACCCTAAAGAGAAAAAGGCCGGCTGTGACTACTACTACCACCAGCGCTGGTATGCGCTCGAGAAAACCCGGATTGCACTTGTATTTTTTTTCTTCCTCCGCTACTCTCCCGAACCCAGACTCCCATCTCGGAACTAGGCATCGCTTCTTTCGCCCTGCGGCGAGAAACCATGCTCGCCGGGTGGGAAAAGGCAGCTTGTTGATGTCACTGCACATCGGGAGTAATACAGAAGTATTTCTTCTGCTCTATGCGATAGGCCTAGACGTATTTCGCTGCGCAGGGTTCGTCTGAGCCGGCGCACTGGCTTCTTCACCCCCACCCCCCCCCTTTTACCTTTACAGAGAAACACGCACACCATATGCATGGGTCTGCTTCGGCCACGAGATATTACGCCGCACTGTAGCACACTGCAGTTGCATAGGAGGGGTAAACACATTCCTCGGCTACTGGTAACACCGATCGGGCGCACCCCTCCCCGGCTCTTGCCGTAAAGCAAAGGGGGGAAAAAACACAGACCGAAAACACGGCGCTGTGGGGTGTATGGGGGAGAAGACGGAAAGAATTTTTTTCCCGACACAACCAAACACGGGTGCGCCCAGAGATGCTGCTTTTATGGGCTATGGGTTCGCGTAGCAAAAACGTGCTCGGAGGACTTTGTAGCGTACGAAGTGCCGTCGACGGACAACTTGCCTTCAGGACGAAGAGTCGTACGACGCGAAAATGGTCGACCTTGCTGTAGCAGGCACCGGGTGAAAAGTCCGCTGTCCCACATACCGTAGGTCGCCCGGCGCTAAGCCATGGAGGAAGAGAAAGTCGCGGCTTACGAAAAAAAAAAAAAAAGTGGTTACGACTGGACGAAAAAGAAATCGCCGACGTTAATTAAGGTGTGCGACTGAGAGAAGAAAAAAAAATATTACGCAAAAAGAGCAGGCGACAAACGGCTCACCGGGCACCCTCCCCGCACAGCCTTCGCCTCGCTTCGGAGGAAAATAAAATGCGAGGCGTTCTCGGGCCTGGCCAGCAGATCGTACGTCTGTCACTAGCGTAGGAAAACGAAGGCACTTTCCGATTCCCCAAAACCGCAATATCAGGAGCGAAAGACGGCGTTTCGCCGGCTGATGGGGCCCAGATAATTTGCCATCTCAGCGGCGATAAAGAAAAAAAGTAGCAAAAAGAAAAAACGTCGCCCCACTACCAGTACCTGACTGGGAAACCGGTGGGCTGCCCGTCGGGGCTCGCAGAAATCGAGAACACGCTTTTTGCCCGGACCACACGAGCATCATCGAGTCGCGCTGCTAGTGAAGGGAGGGATACTGACGAGTACAGGGAACAGAAAACCCGAGGCCCTGCCTTTGCCTGCCTGGGTCCGGCCGGGCTGTGTCATATGGTACTACCCACGTCACACCCAGTCGAGCTCGCTGGGCAGCCGACGCGAGACGGCCCGCGGTACGCAAATTGGTACGCTACCTCCGCCATGGTGGGACCTTTTCGTCGCCCCAATATCGAGCTCGGAATCCAGAGGCCTCTTCCTAGAATCTCCAATATCGGGATCGGGACATCCATTCACACCTCCTAAACCCGTCGCCATCTTCAGTGCAGAAACGTCCGGGCTCTGACGTCACTCCCGACGTCAACACGAGTCTCCCGGAAGACGCTGCGGACCGGCGTTCTTCCTGTTCCTCCGCGACGCCATCACGCGCCCAAAAGGCGAAATAGTACCACCGTGGATGATCGCTGGGAGCGCGCCGTGTCCGCCATGGCGCATACACACGTTCACATGCGCGACTGACGAGCTTGTGAGCGCGCACTTTGCTCAAACGGGAGCGACAACAGACTCCACACATTGTTATCGGCTTTCCCCGAACTTTGATTTGCCACCATGTGACGTCAGATAACACGGTGTGGGGCTCTACAATTGAGTTTGCGTCCCCCAACGCTATTCGATGGTTGCGCTAGCTACACTAACGCCGCAGTGTCCGTAAAGGTTTGGGGTGCAATAGCTGCGAACGTGATCAATTGGGAAACGCGATCGCTGATTGTTTGATTGATGCAATGCGCGGCGGACAGCAGATAGTGGTGGACTTAGTCCCACTTATCTGTTAACTTTCGCTCGTATCGAAACGGAGCGTGTGTCATAGCGTCACCCACTGCACGCAGCAAATTGTGTGCATTCCAGTGAGTGCACTCGTTCACATACGGCGCGCCACTGATTGCACTTGATATAGTGGTGTCCGTGGCTCACAACGATTGTCGGCTCTTCAATTTTAAACCGCCTTAGAACCCACGTGATAGGCTTTCCTGCATACCGCGTCTACCGTGCAGGGGAGCGACATTCGCAGAACAACGCGGGAGACTTGAAATTTGCTCTTGCCTTGTCCTCTTGGCAGCGTGCGGGCTCCTTTGCTGCGTCCACGACGTCGTCGGTGATACTTTCGCGCCACATTTCGGCATTTAAATCTATAACCGAGGCAAATATGAAGAAGTGAGCGCTTCAACTAGTACACAGCTGATTGTCCACAACCGCAGTTGCCTAGCTTCGCCGTCAGGGCACGCCGCGAGCGCACCGGTCGTCACTTTACGGATTCGTATGCGCGAAACGAAATAGTGATAGGAACGTGTTCCTGTCTGAACCAAAGAAAATCAAAGTCAATTATTACTCACAATTTCAAGAAAGCAGAATAAACGGAACATAGTGAGTTAAGTGTCACGCGTGCATGTGACTCTGCGGAGCTGGTTATGCATAATATATCCGTACAGTTGTTTCAACACCAACTAACGCAACTTGTTATTGTACACAAAGTTTGGCGCTCACAGCGTGTCGCGACATCTATGAATAAGACAACAAAGTTAATTTTCACACATTGAAAGAAAAATTTTGCTGGATTTATTTAGCGCTATGCTCCAAAAGCGGTACGTGCATTTGAGAGAACTAAAAGTGTGGCAGAAAAGACGGCTGAAGTTTATAGCAACGTTTTTGCTCTCTAGCGATCAACGCACTTTAGAGAGAAGACTGAGAGAGAGCAAGCATGGTTTAAGCAGCGAGTGAAAGGGCACAAGAAACGGAAAAGGTGCGCGCCGGCCTGCGTTGTGGGATGCGCGGTGTTGGTTTCTCTTTCTCTCTCTCAGATCCTCTCCAACAGCTGTCTTTTCTTTTTTCTTTATTCGATTTCGTTAATGTCATCACGGGCTCCATAGAAGGGTATAATGTCCAATGTGAAGCGGGCTTCACGCCTACGAGTGCAGTGAGCGGCTGCAAGCTTGCCACTGGGAAGTGACACAAGGGAAAAGTCGCAATGATGCGGTAAGCGAAAGGTTTTTAGGCCTAGAACAAGTTTCGCATGGCGAGCGGGCCAGCCGGCTGGGAGATAGATGCACGCACTCCGAAAATGGAAGATATGTTAGTGGCGGCTTCCCTTTAAAGCAGCGGGCGCTGAACCGAGTAGCTCGCGCGTTTCCTCAGACGCTCTTCTAAATGAGTCCTTGAGAAGAAGAAGGAAAAAAGAGTGCACTAATTTCTTTTTCGTGGCGATTTTTTTTTTCTCTCGGTTCTCTCGTACCTTTCGGGGTGTGGGCTGGGCGGCTTGCATTTCCTGGCCGCGCGTTCCACCTGTGAACTCGCCTCAAGCGGAACGTAGCCGTGCAACACCGCCCACGTCTTTGTGCCGTGCGCGTTGATTTGAGCGAGATTTCGGTAGTTGCACATTTGAAGAACGCCTCAAGTGTGTTCAGCGCTACGTGCGTGAATTAGTGCGCTCGATGTTTAACGCACACTCGCAAGCGTAACCTAGCTGCGCGTCTACGCACCAGATGCTGTTTTGCAAAGTAGTCGTAATGTAGAACGCACAGTTTAGTGTGTTCGAATACGGATGGCTAACTTAGTCATTGCATAATTAATGTTTTGCGTCTCGACGATTGTGCTTCGCTTATCGATTTCAATATTTTTCTTGGGATCGTTGTTGCATGCAACGATATATATATATATATATATATATATATATATATATATATATATATATATATATATATATATATATATATATATATATAAAAACTAAGTGCCTGCCATAAGAAAACACATCGAGTCAGTTTCTGGGATAACTTGATTTCTCCCCTCAATGTTGCACCTTCTTTTGCGCCTGCAAAAGACACGAGCCCTAATTAGGCATGCTGAAATGTTTTGGAGCAGCAGGGAAAACTCCTATGCTTAGTCCAATGTCGCGTATCTCATGAACTGCAGGAAAATATTTCAAGAAACAGCATGGAGGAATCTGCAGCCACTCTGTTCTTTAGAAACAAGGGCATCACCTCATGTCCAATGCAATAGACAATATATATATATATATTAGGGATTTTGAACTTTGGACAGCTGCACAAAATCGAGCTCTCGCCCGTGGGTGGTGGGTCACGCCGCACACAGCGCAAACACATTTTTATTGGGCGCATCATGGGTCACCGGGGGATCATAACCTTTAACATCAGACATGTATCTTTCTGGGCGTGTTATGCCTCCTGCACAAAGAATAGTACTTCTGCATTCAAGTGTCATAAGTTTATCGCAGCTGCAAGCAGATAAATGCACATAACTTCGTAGCCGCATAAGGGAGCACAGGTGACACCGGTGACCCACGACACAGTGAACTTGTTAATAGTTTATGAGATAATGGTTTAATGTTTCATTTCCCTCCTTGGCTACTACCACCTGTTGCTCAAAATTGTTGGTCTTATGTCTTCAAGGTACCTGTTATGTTGGAAGCTTTAACGAGTCTGCTCAATTGCTTGCCTACCCTGTTGTAGTTGCCATTGACATAGTCTTGCCACTGTAGCTTGTAATCAAATTTTACTTCTTAACAATGCCTTTGTGTAATAATATTGGAATGACAATGACAGTTCTAATGGCGCAGTATCGTATGCCATCATCTTCTATTTCACAATTGTGGTGTAGACGTTGGATAGTTCCTGTTGACCAGTCCGACACCCATAAAAGACATGGTAGGTCTAATATAAAAAAAAAGGACTGGTGACACATCCGCGTAGGTCAAAGATTTACTTCTTCAGTCTGGCAATGTTTTTGCATTGGGATGCTCACTTCTCAATGGGTTATCTGTTAAAAGCTGTTTGCCCCCTAGTGTAAGCAGAAGACCAGTGCAAACCTAAGGCTGGTCTGAAGAAGTATGACGTAAACTTGAAAAGGCACACTGAACTCTCTGTTCTGTGTAATTATTGTACCAACATGAAATTAGACATACTGTAATCAATAAACATACCTTTTTCTTGTTTTTCAGTTGCTGTACTTCAGAACTGATATCAATTTAAAGCACAATTTTTTCGTTGAGTGACTCAGGCTTTAAAGCAGAGAGCTGATTAATTTCCGAGTTGGTACAGCAATTACAAAGATAATCGTGTCATGTTTGACATCGACCAAAAATGACGAGTGCCAGTGACTCATTCAGAAGTGCAGTTGCAAAATGTAAGCCCAATGTGCGGATGCCCTCTGAATCAGGATGTCATGAAGATATGTGCATGTTGTTGCCCACTTCTATCTGGTAATTTGAGCTGGCTCTTTATGCTTTATCCGTTCCAGTATGTTGCTTATCTAGCAAAAAGTGCTGCAGGTTATTGGAGCCGCCTATTTGAGTTGCTCTTGCATAAAGAAAGAACAACGGGGGGTATCCAGTGTCACACTGATTTTGTTTGCAAACACAATTCTTGTGTGCAGTGTTTGTCAAGACTCCCAGGGTGAATCCTTTGAGTGACGATGCCTGTCGCAGGGCTTCTGCGAAATGCTCGCCAATCCAAGACTCGGGAGAGTCGTGCACATGCTACTCAGTGCTGTTGCTCAGTGTACTTCACTCGTCTGCCTCTGTTGTGCTTGAATCTGCTCTTTGGGCTGCATTTACATTTAGCGGAAAACTGAAAATTGCTGATGCACTTACACATTACACATAAGATGAAATACACATTAAGAAGTTTTACCCCTACATTCAGAAACGCTCCTTCACTTAAACTTGACTTGCCACCACCTTCAATGCAGAGCGTTTGAAGCACGTTTGTGCATTTTTGCTTCTTTGGCAATGCCCAAAGCAGCCGGTCTAAACTCGTTTGTTCTTCTTTGAATGCAGTGGCAAGTCAAGTTCGAGCTAAGGAGCGCTTCTGAATACAGG